AGACTAGAGGTATGGCTAAAGCAGTAGAGTACAAACCAGGAGCTAAAAAGCCCAGTGAGAGCATAAGGTCCTGAGTTCAATCCCCACTATTGGCAACACACACACACACAAAACAAATCAGTGCACATACACTAAAATAGGTAAAATGAAACATAATGTAATGTCTAGTATCCATGATTGGCGGTAACTGCTGGTGGGTTGAATATAAACTGAGAGGGCAGCTTTGGAGACGTGTTCAGAAGCCGAATATAACCATACCAAGGCAACCTAGTCTGAAATGAACATGCTTCCTGACAAGAGATTCCAATAATATTCTTCAGAGCTGTAACAAGCAATAAGATTGAAGAAGTAATAAAAAGTCTCCCAACAAAGAAAAGCCCAGAGCCAAATGGATTCATGGCTGAATACTACCAGACCTTCAGAGAACACCAATCGCCACAAACTCTCCCGTGAAACAGAAAAAGAAGGAACGCTGCCGAGATCGTTCAGTAAAGCCAGTATTACCCTCATTCCAAGACCAGAAGCCAGAAAAAGAGAATAGATTAATCTCGTGAGGAATACCGATGCAAAAATTTACAATAAATTTCTGGCAAATGGCTGGGTACCAGGAACTCACACTTGTCATCCTAGCTACTCAGGAGGCTGAGATCTGAGAAATGCAGTTCAAAGCCAGCCCAGGCAGAAAGTCCTCGTTACTCTTATCTTCAATCAACTACCAAGAAGCCAGAAGTAGAGCTGTGGCTCAAGTGGTAGAGAGCCAGCCTTAAGCAAAACAGCTCAGGGTCAATGTCCAGGCCCCAAGCTGGCACACATGCATGCATGCACACATACACACAAACACACACAATCATTGAAAATAGAATTCAACATTAAAAAAATTAATCATAGGCCATGATCAAGTCAGTTTCATCCTTGGGATGAGTTCAGACATCCCCTCCAGGCCACATGGTATGTCATAAACCGTGTGCAACGCCATCCCCTGGGAGACAGGAGGAAGCTGCCCACCAGAACAGCCACAGTCGCTCATTCAATTCTGTGCCCGGTTCCAGGCTCAGTGCCAGCAGACAATTATTTAACTATGGGAAGTAATTTTGTTCAGGAAAATGTTGGCTAGTCCAGTCAGCAAATATAACTGAGATAGATGATAGATAGATAGATAGATAGATAGATAGATAGATAGATAGATAGATAGATAGATAGATAGATAGATAGATAGATAGATAGAGACAGATATACATTATATACATACATCATTTTGTAGTGGGGGTAAAAAATAGAGAAGCAAAGAAGAGTATGTGCACATTACTGACAGGGCTAATACATAATAGGAAACTGCAAGGTACCCATAAAAACCACAGGACCACGCTCTAAAAACCCAAGACTTTCTATGGAGTTGTACAGGCAACTTAGTCAACACCCTAAAAGAAGATGGCTAATAGCAGTATCCGGTCTTACTTGGTGAGCTTCTTCCAGTAAACTAAGCTATTTTTAGCCAACATTACAGGGAAGAATTTTTTTTTCCTGGTCCTGGGGCTTGAACTCTGGACCTAGGCTCTGTCTCTGAGCTTCTTTTGCTCAAGGCTAGCACACTACTAGTTGAGCCACAGAACCAGTTTTAGTTTTTTCAGAGTAGTTTATTAGAGGTAAGAGTCACAGACTTTCCTGCCTTGATTGGCTTCGAATCGCAGTCCTCAGATCTCAGCCTCTTGAGTAGCTAGGATTATAGGCGTGAGCCACCAGCACCCAGCTAGGGAAGAATTGTAGTTCCAGAGACCTAGCTCAGACTAGTTACATAAATTAGAACTTCTGCATAACTATGCAATTTTAGTACACACTAAATCTATTGCATTGTAATGTCAAGATGGGGGGGGGGGCGGGTATTGTGAGTTTTTCCCTTCGGTGGTACTGGAATTTGAACTTAGGAAGGCCCTCACACTTGCTAAGCAGCCACCGTATCACTTGAAATAGCCACCCAAACCCAGCAACCCTTTGCTCTTTAGCTACTTTTCAAATATGGTGTCATGTTTTTTGCCTAGGCTAAGAACATGATCTTACCTGTGCTGACACTCACACCCAGCTTGTTGGTGAAGGGGAGTATAACTAACTTTTTGCCTGAGCTGGCCTCTAATTGCAATCCTCCTCATTTCTGCCTACCAGTTAAGTATTACAGGCTAAGTCGCCAGGATCTAGCTAACCCTGTTTTTTTTTTTTTTTTGGGGGGGGGAGGTCTGGTCGTGGGGCCTGAACTCTGGGCCTGGGCGCTGTCCCTCAGCTCTTCAGCTCAAGGCTAGCGCTCTACCACTTGAGCCACAGCACCACTTCCAGCTTTTTTCTTTTTGCTTATGTAGTGCTGAGGAATCAAACCCAGGGCTTCATGCATGGAAGGCAAGCACTCTACCACTGAGCCACCTTCCCAGCCCTAATCCTGTACTTTTTAAAGCAAGATTTATACTTAGTCTCTTTCTTCTCCAGCTTAAACATTTCCAAGGTTCTGTGCATCAAATAAAACTCTTTGGCTATTGAGCTAACAGTATTTCCAAGGGGGTATATTCCTATTTCACTTTAGTTTCCAAATATACAGCACCATAATGAAGCATGGTTGCAAACAATGGATAAAACTCTGCTTCTCTACTGTTGACCAATTCTTATAAATTCTACTATAAAGGATACCTCGTAGGAACATAAAAACATACATTGAGTTTATTAAACCTATCCCTTTCCAGAAAAGACTTCAGCCTAGTAACTATACAGTTTGTAACTTAAGACTTCAAAAGGAGAAAAGGAACAGGGAGAAAATGCAGCTTCCTGGTAACCAGAGGAGGGGAAAGCTATTATAAACTTTGCTCTTTTAAAAACATAGGTTCACTTAGGGGAAGAATTCAGTTATAACACCACTGAACAACTAATATACTATTATCAAAACAAGTATCAGTAAGTGGAAACAATTGGGGGGGCAGTGAGCAAAGGGGCAGTACACAATGGATAGCAGAATGATGAGCAAATGCAGTCATCATATTCAATGGACATAATGTAAACACTGAACTACTACTTGAGGGCAGAGATGGGAAAAAGGTGTAGGAGAAAAATGAATGATATGACATTAACCAAGAAACACTATACTTATGGAATTGTAGCCCCTTTGTACAACTACTTTAAAATAATACCAGGAAAAAAAAAAGGCAGCATACTAGTTTCTCAAAGAGCAAAAGTCTTTTCCTTAAAGCTATATCATCAGCAGAGCCCTGCTTTAAAAGTTAGTCTGGCCCAATTACTTTACATTGCAAACAAAAGAAAGAAAAATTAACAATATTCATCTCACTTCAGTTGTAGAGCTATCAAGCAGTTTCATGGCCTTACCACAACCTAATCTGAATTTTAATTAACTTCTTTTTACTACAAAGTTTAGACTTGTGTCAGCAGTGAGTACACAAAAAAAAGTCAACTGAGCCTCCCTACGTTGCAACCTTTTCTTTTGCTTTAAGTGAAGCTGTATCCAGATGACCCCACAGGATATTCCCAGCTTCAGGAGCCATCAGGACGAATAGAAGTCCAGGGCCACAGAGGGAAACTCTGTGGCAGCTTAAACTCTGGTGTAATGTAAGCCAGCCTGCAGAAGCCAGGCTCACCCCAGCGTTGTAGGGACAAAGACAGGGATTTCCAGAGAGTAGGGTACTTTGGACAAGCTCCTTCTGCAGGAGAAATCTTGACTCCACAGTCAGTAAACTTCAGAGGAAACTAGCTGAAAATATTAATGCCAAGGAATCTGACAGAGCAGAAAGTGCACGCTGTCTGCTTCAGCCTGCATGCGAACAATAGGTTCGCTGCACACGGGCTCCACTTCTCTTCCTTTCAGTCCTGGATCTGGTTCCCAGCACACTTGCAAATGGCAAAAATGAACAGGTGCAATTGAGGACAAAACTTTAAAAAAACAATGTCTATGCAGCTGTGAGTGTCTAGATGACATTGTATAATGACATTACCATGAGACCAGATTTTCCTGATTCAATTTTGTGATACTAATCACCTTTGTCAGTTAAAGACAGGAATCTCTCTTAATAGGCTGCTCCTGATTTTAAAGATAAAAATCTGTTTTCCAGTCTTTTTCTCATAGTTTAAAATTATGAGAGATCCAATGAAACCTACTGAAATTTGCAGTAAATAGCAGAGTTAATAATTTCATGAAAAAGGTTTTTCTTTAACAAGATTTCCTGTCCCATATAAAACCGGCAGCTTATTTAGATGATAGCCAAGCAAATCACACCTGTAACCGAGCAGTCAGGAGGCAAGGGCAGGAAGATTGAAAGCTTGAGGCTAGCCTGGCTACAATAGTGAGACCTTGTCTTAAAATATGAAAAACAAAGAAAAGTCATTTTAGTTAAGAAAGGAAACCAGTAAATATAACTAATTATTTAAAAAATAATCAATAGTGCATGTAGAAGTTAATGCAACCTCTATAATCTAAATTCTAAGGTGCTCTCAGGAGTCCTAAACACTCTGAAACACTTCTAGCATTAAGGTCATCATTTTGATGACTTTGATGATCTTTGAGCTCTCCAACATTCACTTAAACAGCAAAATAATGTTCAAATGACAGAACAGACCAACAAAAAGACCAATTACATCTGCCCAGTTTGAAGAGGTCAAATATTACCACACCATCAACACAGAAAAACTGAGCTAAGATTGAGCCCAAGATATGACTAAGGGGGAAGATGCAGATAATCAGTTGGGTCAGGGTCAGCAAAATCCTTCTGCGGGCTTATCAGCATCACAAGGTACCATCCTAACACATATGCAGCTATGTATGTCCAGTAGTAGCCTATATAGTTATTTCCCACAAGCCTCTATACTTTGGCTACACTGTAAAAGGAGTTTGTCCTTGCAAGTGATAAATATTTCATTGTCAAACAATCTATTATTTTCATCACAGAGTTATTCTTGTACTTCACTATTAGCACAGGTTAACTTGTAAGAAGCACGAGGAGGATGTGAGAGTTCACCTTTGTCACTGCTTTGGATTTCAGTCCGCCATTCTCCACAGCACTCAGGTCCAGTTTACCATCATCCTTACTTCCTATGGCCTTTAGCCCTTGCAGAAGAATGTCACGTAAATTCTGATACAGAGGCTTCTCAGTGTAGTTCAGTAATTTCACAGTTTCCAGGTATTTAGCAATTTCACCTGAAAAATAACACCATCCTTTTCTAAACTGTAATCAAAATTTGATCTAGTTCTCCTACCTGTACAAACATAATTTATGACTACCATAAAATGAGAATGTGTGTGTACATCTTGTCAAGAAGAGTCTTTTGTTGCAATCACTTGTCCAATGAAAAGTATGTTTTTAATTTGGGAATTGACAGGTAAGCAAAATAAAAATAAATTTTGAAAAATTTTAGATAGACTGTAAAAACAAATGGTAATTGTGAAAGACAAAAAATATTTACTTAAGACAAATATCAAAAAGCACAAAAAGAACTAGAGTAGACTGGGAGTAGGATACTACTCTTGTTTTTCTTTTTAGTTTGTGCCAGTACTGAGGGTCGAGTCTCAGTCCCTTGAGCCCAAGCGCTATCCTGTAGTTTTTCCACTCAAGGCTGGTGATCTATCATCACTTGAGGCACAGCTCTACTTCCCACTACTGAGTTTTGAACTCAGGGTCTCACACTTGCCAAGCAGGTGCTATGCAGAACCCTAGCCCTTTAGGCTTTTTTCATTTTTTTTAAATATAGTCTCTCATTTATGCCCTAGCCAGCTTGGATGCTCTTGTTGATGTGTCCTACATAGTGGAGATGACAGGCATCTGTCACCATATGCAGCCTTTTCATTGGTTGAAATGAGGGAGGAGGGAGAATCTTTCAAACGTATTACCTGAGCTGGCCTCAAACCATGATCTTCCTGATCTTTGCTTCCCATGTTGTTAGGATTATAAGTGTGAGCCACCACACTGGGCTTAAAATAAAGATTTTTAAAATTAAATGTCCTTAAGTACAATGAACTGAACAACTGAATGAGTCTCACACAGCCACCCAACTGTGGAGTGGGAAGTGCCTCTTTGAGATACCCCAGTACAAAGTCTACATCTAAAACCACCAGAACTTGTGCATGAGACATATTTCATGGGCATCACACTTTTCTCCTCCCTACCCACATCTCAGTCTTTTCCTACCTGGCTTGTTTTTCTCAGGAAAACATTTATCCATCAAGCCTGCAATATCTTCTCTGTATCTGTTAAAAATGAAATAATCAAACATGGTATCATAGATTATCTAGTAACAGTAAATTGCACACTAAGTAGCATTGTATTATATCCCAAATATGATTTCAGATAGTCTTCTAAAATAAACTGAACCAACTCCAAAGAACCTTACTGTTTAACATGTAGTTTCTAATTTCTACATTGGTGTCAATTAAAGCTACTGTTCTGAGCTGGATATGGTGGTGCATACCTATAATTCTAGCACTTGGGAGGCTGAGGCGAAAGGATCTCAAGTTCTAGGAAAGCCTGGACTACAAAGCAGGACCCTTTCTCAAAACAAAAAACACATACAAATTTTAAAACAAAACATAAAAACACTACAGTTCCCGTCCAGAAATTCTGACTAAAACCATTTTCCCTAGCATAACTTATCCCCCTCCCCCACCAAAGTTTTAAGTTGTCCTTTACCTAATTTTGGAATCTCTAACATAGTTTGGATCTTTCAAATTATCCTCCCAAGGAAGATGGCCGCTAAGCCACTGGATCATGCAATAACCAAGTATTTCCAAATCACCACGTCGTGAAGGTGCTACAAATACAAAAGAAGATTAAGCACACTAAAAATCATTTTCAAGGTCCAAGTTAGGGTGTACATAAAGCAGCCAGTGAAGTGAAGCAGGCTACTCCAGGCTCTTTCAATCATCGTGTCAGCTCTTGCACTGAAAGAACTGAGCATTAGGCCTCATTACAACAAACTTATCTCCCACTAACGATCATCCAAACTCATAAACTTTAGGATCACAAACTCAGACTATTAATCTAGGAAGACAAACTTATGAAACTATGACACATGTAATATTGTGTTTGGAAAGTATAAATCCAACCAGCCTGCAATCATACATAAAAGTAATTGGATGTCCTGAGTACAGGTGGATGAACCTGCTCAGTCATCTTCAAGCAGGAGCATGGTGGGAGACACCCTGTTCCACAAAAGTGGGAGAATAGGCGGACACTGGTGGCTCACACCTGTCATCCCACGTACTCAGAAGACTGAGATCTGAGGATCATGGTTCAAAGCCAACCCAGGCAGGAAAGTCCGTGAGACTCTTATCTCCAATTAACCACAAGAAAACCGGAAGTGGTGCTATGGCTCAAGTGGTAGAGCACTAGCCTTGAGCTGAGGGACAGCACCCAGGCCCAGAGTTCAAGCCCCACAAACCACCAAAAAAAAAAAAAAAGAGAATAATCTCTATCCCCTTTCCCATTCCTACTTTGTCTCTTCCAATCCTTATCTATCTGCATCCATCAAGAATTGTGTAAGAACTCAGTGAAAACATTAGTAGGGTTTCTCATTCAAAAACTGTGGACATACCCACGCCATTGTGAGCATCGATGCTGGTGAATTCAATAGTGCCATCATGACATCTTTTGGGGTCTTCTTTGTATTCTTTATGAACTCCTTCTGGGCAGTAGCGATAAGCAAGGCCATAATCCACCAAGTACACCTATAAATTTCCAATATTCAAGACAATTTAAAGGCAAAGCCATTGTACGTGCTACTTTAAAATACAGAATTAAGGGCTGGGAAGGTGGCTCAGTGGTAGAGCGCTTGCCTTGCATGCCTGAGGCGCTGGGTTCGATTCCTCAGCACCACATAAGCAAAAAGAAAAAAGCCAGAAGTGGTGCTGTGCCTCAAGTGGTAGACTGCTAGCCTTGAGCTGAAGAGCTGAGGGACAGCGCCCAGGCCCAGAGTTCAGGCCCACAACCGGACCCAAAATAAATAAATAAATAAAATATAGAATTAAATATTATTTGGGGGTCAATTCACCTACAGAGGCAAACACTCCAAATGAGTGAAATGCAAAATGCACACAATAATTTTTTTAAAAATCATTTCATTTACTTAAGGAGATCTAAGTCAGAAACTTGCACATGCTTGATCTCCTACAATTCTACTGATCTACAAAACCAGCCCAGGAATCTGTTTTGACTAAAAATATTAAATGACCATGTGACTATATTCTGGATAATATCATTTGATAATATCATTTGATACTCTTGATATACTTTTTTAGAGAAGTATATGATAAACTTATAATTAATCTTGTCTTGTTGAGCAAGGCTCATAGAGCTTTCACTTTCTCACAAGGTCTAATACAAAAGTGAACACAAGGGGCTGGGAAGGTGGCTCAGAGGTTAAAGTGCTTGCCTTGCATGCCTGAGGCCCTGGGTTCGATTCCTCAGCACCACATAAGCAAAAACAAAAAAGCCGGAAGTGGCGCTGTGGCTCAAGTGGTAGAG